GGTTGGTTGGTTGGTTGGATTTTATTGGCGCAAGAGCCAGAGATGGCTATACTGCGCCAGGCACTAGGTTAAAATTTGGTCACAAGGTTAAACTAAGGTGTTATTTTTTAAAGCAGAGAATAAAGTCCTATGACTTTGATAAATTTTAAGAGATTGTATAGGGTCACCAAGTAAAGATTGAAGATCAGGGTTAAAACTGCCAAAAAATTTGTTTCTCAAGTATTTGAATCGTCTGCAGTCAGTAAAAATATGCTTAATGGTGATAACAACTTGACAGATTGAACAAACAGGTGCAGGTTCGTTTTTCAATAAATACACATGGGTATATCGTGAGTGGCCAATGCGTAGCCTGTTTATTAAAACATGAGTTTTACGGAAAATTTCATGTAATTTATTATCATTTTGTGTATTCCAGTGTTCTTTCCAGGCTAGATAAACTGATGATTTACAAATTCGCTTGATGTCCACTGGTGCTAAAACATTCCTGCTTATGTTATGAGTACTTTTTGCAACTACATCAGCACATTCATTCCCGTGTATACCGACATGGGATGGCATCCAACAAAAATAAATATTGAAACCTCAGTCATATAGTCGAGTGATGTATTTTTGGATTTTGAGTATGACTGGGTTCAGACCGATGTCTGGAATACTTGCTATAAAACTACGTGAGTCAGTATATATTATCCACTTTAGATAAGTTTGGTCAAAAATATAGTTAAGGGCTAGTAAAATAGCATAACATTCGGCAGTAAAGACTGACGAATCAGGAAGCAGTTGCTCAGATACAGTAGAATTTTCGGTAACAACACCACAACCAACATGATTATCGTGTTTTGATCCGTCAGTAAAAATTGGTTTAAAATCGATATATTTATGTCGATGTTCATAAAATTTTTGAGTGAAATCACTTGAGCTAGTGTGAGATTTTTTAAAATTATTAAAAACGTCTAACACGCATATAGAAACATCAATCCACGGAGGGATGATGCCTGTGTTAGTAAAAACCTCAATATCTGAAATGTTAAAATCATTTAAAATATTGGTGATTCTAATCCCAAACGAAGGTATATAAGATGGACGCGAGGAGAAGTGAGTGGTGTATAGTGGATGAAGTGACTTCGATTTAATTTTAAAATAATAATCCAATGACAGTTGGGTCTGTAGCTTGTGGTTTTTTCTGGATTCTTTCCTGGTTTGAGAATGGGTATTACGTAAGCTGTAGACCAGTTTTTAGGAAAAATTCTTTCTGTCCAGATTCGGTTGTATATTATTAAGAGAAGACTTAAGGTTTTATCAGGCAGGTTTTGAATCATAGAATAGTGAATTTCATCAGGACCAGGAGTTGTAGAGTGGGTATTTTTTAAAACATATTGAAGTTCGTTAAGAGTAAAAGGTTTATTATATTCGCTGTTTGTGTTCTTTGGCGTCAGTTTAATCTTCTCACTATTTCTTTTTATCGTAGCAAATGGTTGTTTGTAAGCAGAGTCGCTTGAAACTTTAGCAAAAGCATCGGCTAGTGCATTTGCTATATCGTGAATATGAGATATAAGTGAATTATTACATCTGAGGATAGGAATATTATTTGCCGTGTATTTACCAGATATTGCTTTTATTTCGTGTATTTACCAGATATTGCTTTTATTTTATGCCAGATAATGTTTGACGGTGTGTTATATTTGATTGACGTAACATAATTTTTCCAAGATGTTTTTTGGGCATTACGTCGAATTCTGCGTGCCACGGAGCGAATGCATAGCAATTAGGTTATCTGCTGTTGGGTGCTTACGGAAAACTCCCCATCTCTGTTTTTGCTCTTTCTGTGCTTGATTACACTCCTGGTTCCACCACGGTTTCGGTTGTTTTGGTAATTTCATTGATGTCATTTTTGTACTGTGTTTGGCTGCTTCAAGTATCTTATCTGTAAAATGCTCAACTACAAGATCTATATTATTTTGATTTATAAGATTTTCTTCCACTTTTATGCTAGAGGTAAATTTAGTCCAATTTGTTGTATTCATTTTGAGTCGCGGGGTTTTGGAATGCTGATAATTATTTGTGCCTGTATGAGTGAGTATTAATGGGAAATGATCACTATTGAAGAGATTATTATATACGTGAAATGACCAGTATGGATACTGAGATGAACTGCAAATCGCTAGATCTATGGCATTAAATGTTTTTGAGGGGATGTGGAAATGAGTGCTTTCTCCTGTGTTTAAAAGGCATAAAATATGGTCATCGATAAGTTTTTCAATCATAAGTCCTCTATTATTTGAATCAGGACTTCCCCACATAGGGTTATGGCCATTGAAATCACCTGTTATTATGAAAGGTTGAGGAAGTTGTGTGAGTAAATTGTCTAAATCTAATTGGCTCAGATTATCATGAGGAGGAAGATAAATACAACAAACAGTGAGAAGAAATTGAAGAGATATTTGAACAGCGACTTCTTGTAAGTTAGTGTTAAGTGATACTATACGAGTTGGATACAGAGTGGAAGTCATAATCATGACTCCACCACAAGCTTTATTTCTGTCAATGTTATCTTTTCTAACTGAATTATAACCGCGAAGTTTAGCATTTTGGTTAGGTTTTAGTGAGGTTTCTTGGAGACAAATGCAACATGGAGAAAATTTATTCACTATATCAATGATGTCCGGTTTTGTTACATTATAGCTTCTGCAATTCCAAGATATTATTTTTGTCATTATTACCTTCGAATTTTGAGTTTAGTATTTTTGGGACACAGATTTGGTGGAGTCTCCATCCCATCTTCAGTTTGCATCTGAGAATTAAGCTGTTCGTCGTTCTTATCTTCATCTGTGCTCATTGCATCAGATTCTTGCTCAGAATGTTGTTCTTTATTTTTTAAATGCTTTAACCTGTTTTTGTTAAATTTGTTTTGTCTGCTTTTAGGCAAATATTTTTGTTTACTTACTATTGGAGACTGAGTTAGTTTTTGTTGTAATTTGTTTATCAACTGCGGGGTTAACTTCAAGTACTTTTGATTTTCAGATTTGTTTTGTACCTGTGTTGAAGGGATAACGGATTTTTCAAGATTTTGAGTTTGTTGAGATTGAGAGAGAGTTGTTTTTGATGAGCTTGCTGTTTGCCTTGGAGATATTGTTTTAAGTTTAGTATTTTGTGTTTCTGTGATATCATATTGACTGCCTACTGATTTTGTATGTTTTGCATTAGAGACTGAGTTCATAACTGCTGCAGCATACGAAACATTAGGTCGGGGTTGCGAATTCCGGAATTTAGTTTTAGCTTCAAAGTAGGAGAGATTTTGAGTTACTTTTATGGTTAAGATCTGTTTTTCTTGTTTCCATTTTAAGCATTGTCTTGAATTTGCAGAATGATTTTCATTGCAGTTAACACAATTTTCAGGAAATGTACAGGACTTAAAGGAGTGTCCAGTTTGACCACAGCGTGAACAGGTTTCGTTACCTCTACAATTGTTGGTGGAGTGACCAAACTTTTGGCATTTAAAGCAGCGTAGAGGATTCGGAATATATGGGCGGACTTTGCAATTTTGATATCCAGCTTTAATGTCAACAGGTAGATCAGCAGTGTTGAAAGTCAAAACTATATGTTGCGTTGTGAAGATATCTGAACCTTTTTTGATAGTGATGTGGTGCGCATCTATAACGCCTTGATTTAAAAGACCTTCTTTTATTTCTGAGATGGGTAGGGATTGCAGAGTTTTATCTGAAATGACGCCTTTGGATATATTCAAAGTGTTGTGTGGTGTTATTGTAATATTAATGTTCCCAATTTGTTTCATTTTTAATAGTGCAGTTGTTTGTTTAGCAGAATTTGTTTCGACTAATAAGTCTCCTGATGGCATTTGTTTAACGCTTTTTGGATTTCCAACATGAGTTTCAAGAGATTTCTGAACTAAAAATGGTGATATGGAAGACAGTTTCTTTTCACTAGAACTAAGTATCAGAAATTTTGCATTTGAGAGGTCATAATTTGGACAGTTTGACAAGACAAAACTAGGTGAGGAGGTTGTTCCGCTTTTGTTTCGGTGTGCAGAACTGAACACCTGCTCAATTTCAGCCATATAAAGATAAATAAACTTCCACTATCAGCGGCACCACCCACCACGGAGTCCAACATAGGGGATGTAAGTAATCAAAATGAATCTGTTACTTGAACACCGATGCTAACCAATAGCTATACGCCCGAGAGTCACCCCTGAAACAGCCTCCACCCTTAACGAGGTGCCCAGTAAGTGACCCCGGGCTTGACCCTAGCCAACAGATGACGTTTGTGACAAGCCGATTGATGCATACGGGTCACTATGCACCTCCCGTTTACCTGAAGCAGGGGCCAAAGTAGTGTGTTGGGGCACAAAGATGCCCCTCAACTACCAGGATCCCCTTTTCCAGGGACACGGGTCTCCACGCACGGCGAACACGCGGGTGGTCTCTTCCCATCAGAGTCCGTTATAACACGGGGCTAAGACGAAAAGCCCTTACCAGTAATTTGGCAACCACAAAAAAAGGTTAAAATTTAAGGAATATAATGCAGGTAATGAAGTGAAACAAAATTAATAAATATTCATATAAGCGCAACGGAAATAAGGGATAATCAAAGGTATAAAAACTCATACATATTTGCTCACTAGGTCAATGTAATAAATAATGAAAGCCAGAAACTCAAAACAGGACCGTCGCAGGAGAGAAGCAGGAAAAAAATGCTCAGGTCCAGCTCGGGGCCCCGGGTGCGTCATGCCCGTCACACAAGAGTGTGCCCCTGGGGGGTTATTAAAATGGAGAGAAGTTAGTCCAGAAGCTGCGTTTTCTTTCAAACTCTGTCTTTGTTTTGTAAAAATTTGGCAGGACACAGCTCTTTCACAATCTACTGAATTAGGAAGCACTGAGAGCACTTGTCATGTTTTTTTTGTAAGTTCTGGAAATCTCTCTGAGACTCCCTCTGAATTCCAGAATCTAATTAAGTCCTGGTTTGAACATTCTTTTACATATTCTTCGTAAGCAGCATACTCGAGTTTTATATCTTGACCACTCATTCCTGGAATATTCTTGAATACATCGTCGTCTTCAATATTGAGGTTGACTATTTGTTCTGGATCGAAAACTCGAGCAGCTTTCATGAAGTTTAATGCAGGTTGACTAAACTTGGTCCCGCGTTTTTTGAATACGTCTAGTTCTGGAGAGTAGTAAGTATTCAACTTTGCAATTGTTTTGTGAAACACTTCTTGAAGAAATACGTTGCGTGAATCTTTTAGACCGCAGATCAAAAATCTTATTGTAAGCTTTGTGAATAGATACACCACATGTTTCGAAAAAGAAAAGAGTATCCATTAATATCTGAGCGTGTTCTACAATGAACTGAAAGTCTTTGCAAACGTACTTGCTTTCCACCAAAACTTTGCACTGATTGAGACAATCAGTGTCAGAAGTAAGGTTTATTTTACTGCTAAAAAATTCTATGTAAACATTACAATATTCAGCATGATATTGCACTGATTTAAACCAGGAATTCCACCGTGTCTTTATTGGTACTGGACAAAGTTTTGCTTTCTTATTGTCATCTGTTAAAAACTTTAAATAGCGGCGCTTTTTTGCAGGACAATGCTTGAACAATTTCTTCAAGTTTCCTGTGAATTTGTCCACCTCTGAAAAATGTTCACGCCACTGATCAGACGCTAAATTAAGAATGAGAGCATTGCAGGTCATGTGCACTGAATAGGGCGGTAGAGTACGCAACACTTCCTTGTTAGCCCGAGTAATGTAAGTTGCGTTATCTGTTAAGATTGCTGAAACTTGGTTGAAATCAATCTCCATATCACTACGGCTTGAGAAACTGTAGTCGATTGTACAGCTTCAACATGGAAAAAATATCTAAAAGATCTAAAATAATAAATATCTAAAATACCTATCTAAAAGATAAGGATGCATCATTGCAGTATCTGTAAATTACACGGGACAGCTAAAATAGGTAAAACATAATTGTCTTTAGCATCACTGCCTTCATCGAAGCCGATGCAGAGTGAATCAGCAGTACGAAGAATTTCTTTCAATTCATTCTTCTTTACTTCAAACACTGTTGGTAAATAATTTTGGCGAAGAGAATTAGCACAAGGTAAAGCACCTGCACCCGAAATATTTTTCGTTTGAAATTCTCTCATTTTGGGGGGATCCAGTTTTTCAACCGGAATATTAGCACTCGTAAATGCGTCAACAATTTCAAAGTTTAAAAGATTGCGCATTTCAGCACATTCGGTTTTTCTCTTGAACATTGATGACACGGTTGCTTGTTTTTTTTCGGTATTTCGCTGTCCTCTTGTTTATTTTTTCTTTTATTTGTTATGTGACGATTACTGTCCAAATGCTTATCGACAACACACTTTCTTGTGTGATCCACGGCAATATTACACGTGGTACAGAACATTATTCTATCAGAAGCGTGAAAAATACTCTGATATTGCTTACATCTATCCTGTGCAGAAATATGGATGGCATTTTTTTAAATTTTAGATAGAGACATATTTACAGTGACTATTTGTGTGGAAATGAGTTAAACTAATATCAAATCAATAAATGAAAAGACTCACATGCACCGAGCAGATACTCGAAGAATGAATAAAGCGGAATGCATGGCCCTCAAGCAATATCTTGGGGAGTTCCAGGAACTACAAAGAAAAGAGGTAGAACTGGAGTTTGGGAGCGGGTCATTCTTCCCCAACTTTCTAGCTCTGTGGTCTATACACCGCGAAAGCTGTTCAATCAGCTTCTTATTGAAAATGATGGCGACTGATAAGAAGCTATGTGCCGGGGGGGGGATTCTTGGAAAGATCTGACCACCTGACCAAAAAGATTCTTGGAATTGAAAAAGAAGATATAATTCAATTGAAAAAAAAACCTTAAGGAGAAATTTATCTGGTAAATGAATACATTTTGCTGAAAAATAAAAATTATACAGATATGCTGCGACTACGTGAAAAATTGTAAATTATGCTGATAATTGTGAATTATGCGGGTTTCCGCATCTTCGCATAATTTATAGGGCCCAAAAGATAACTATTCAAAATGAACAAAGGTGGCAGATCAGCAGATGTTGTGTGGGAACATTTTCTCAAAGTGGAGAATAAAGATAAGCCAAATAGCTAATTTGCAAAATGTAAACATTGTGGAAATATTCAACTGGCAAAAATGGAAAGAATGAAAAAACACATTATGTCTTGTCAGCTACAAAAGACAGACGATAACACTAGTGAGTGTAATTGAGAAGGAGTGGATAATGATTTTTCCGAAAGTTATAAATGATTGTGAAATCATAAATGAATCTAGGCAAATGAGGGTGAAACATGAAACTCAGCAAAATTTAGATTCTCATATCATAAAAACCAGCAAGAGTACTACGGAAAGCTTAGATTTATTTTTTCAAATTTTTTTTATGCCAACAATTTAGCCTTTACGGTAGTTAAACATCACACTTTTAAGGAATTGATTTCAGCCCTGCTTCCAGAATATACTCCACCAAATCGTAAAGCACTTTTTGGAGAGCTTTTAGACAAAGAATCTGCAGAAGTAATAAGTGAAACAAAAAAAATATTGCTGGAAAACAAGTCACTCTGGTGGAGGATGGTTGGAGTAGCATACATAACGATCCAATTACAGCAACTTGCATCCAAATTGAGGGAAAATCTTATTTTCTAGATTCAGTAGAAGCAGGTACTGTTACTGAAAATGCAAAATTCACAAAAAAGTGATACAAGATGCCATCACTACAGCGAAAGAGGACTTCAATTGCCATGTAAAAGCTGTGGTAACAGATAATGCCAGGGTTATGAAAAAAGCAAAGGATTTTTTATTGGAGGATGACAGTAAGTAGTATATGGATGCAGTGCTAGTCAAGTTATGCAAATCATAATGAAAGTGCAGAAATATTTTCGAAATCATCACATATCAAGTGCATTGTTGAAAGAAATGCCAAATACAGTGAAACCGCAACTGCCAAGGGATACAAGATGGAAGAGCCAGTTGGCTTGTATTGAAACTTACCAGAAAAACCTATCAGCATATAATTGAGGAAAATGAGCAACTTATTGATTGGGACATAGAAAATCTTGTAAATAATTACAATTTGTTTAAATAATCTAAAGATTTAATTTTGCAACTAAAACCTATTGGTGATGCACTAGACCGATTGCAAAGTGACATTGAGACTTTAAATGAAGCATGTTAACGCTTATTAAAGAAGACAATTTACAGCCCATCTTCAAGAAGTTTCAAATCGAATGGCTCAAGCAATGCAAGTATTTCATTTTACTTGGGACTATTTATTAAACCCTAAATATGAAGAAGGCTTGTGAAAAAGAAAGTGCTCTGTCATATGTAACTGACAAATTTCCTGAGTTCATTTCTCTTTTGATTGTCTATGAAGCTGAAGCCACACCAACAGAAAACTTACTTCACAGAAGCTGGAAGAACCATTAAACCAGTGACATGGTGGACGGCTGTTGAAAAATCAATATCATTTGGGGAATATTCCAAAGATATTTTTGAATTCATCACTCTTCTACTCTCATGCTCAGCAAGCTCAGCGTCAGTTGAAAGGATGTTGTTGAAAGGAAATTTTGGAGTAATTCACTCAAAACTTAGAAAAAGTCTTGGTGTGAATACAGCAGCTAAATTAGTAATGTGCTATCGAATGTTAAGAGGACCAATTGAACTTGATTACTGATTAATCTTCCTTTGTTTAATGTTTAAATTGAAGAGTCAAACAATATTAATAAAACATTATACTTTTAANATTTATTAAACCTTAAATATGAAGGAGAAGGCTTGTGAAAAAGAAAGTGCTCTGTCATATGTAACTGACAAATTTCCTGAGTGCATTTCTCTTTTGATTGTTTATGAAGCTGAAGAGACACCAACCGAAAACTTACTTCACAGAAGCTGGAAGAACCATTAAACCAGTGACATGGTGGACGGCTATTGAAAAATCAATAGCATTTGGGGAATATTCCCAAGACATTTTTAAATTCATCACTCTTCTACTCTCATGCCCAGCTTCAATTGAAAGGATGTTGTCAAATTTTGGAGTAATTCACTCAAAACTTAGAAACCGTCTTGGTGTGAATACAGCAGCTAAATTACTTATGTGCTATCGAATGTTAAGAGGGCCAATTGAACTTGATTACTGATTAATCTTCCTTTGTTTAATGCTTAAATTGAAGAGTCAAATAATATTAATAAAATATACTTTTCAAAACAAATACTCTCTAGTAGATTTAATTATCAATATGTTATTAGTTCTATGTTTATTTTACCTTTTAAATATTATTCAGATAAAATTTTGACATAATTTGAGTAAAAGGGTTTCGGACTGTTTTGAACCGGACTGTTTAAACCGTGGATCAATCCATTCTGTCCTAAACCTTGCCAACCCCGATTATTATACGTTCTCTATCTTCAAAAGCATATGTTTTTTGGAAATTTGAAATTGGCCAACCTGTACCAAGTGCTAGTACGTTAAAGCGATAGTGCTCAAAATTATCTTGTGTTCCAGACTTACAGAAAGATGTTTTTAAATTTGATTAAAAACTGTGCCAAAAATTTAAGTGGATTAAAAAAAATTATCCTGTAGTTTTGATGAAATGGCCTTGATCAAATCCTAGGCCCTTTCAAGAAGATAACTGTTTTCAAATTGAAAACAACCATTTTTTTACGATTTCAAAGTTACAATGAATAAAGTCTTACTTTTCAAAGTCATTGAAAGCTTGGAAATAATTGAAATCGGTGTAAAAGCAATTGTTTCATATTTAGGAGGATTTGGGACACTTCGGAAGAATCTCCAAATAATAATTGAATCAGTTTATTTTTTGAATCCTATCCGACCATCGTCAAAATTTTTTGTTTTTGCTGATATGCCTCATTACGTAAAGTTACTGAGGACTCTGGAATAATTTTAGATGATGAAACTTTGTCAACTTTGGAATTGTTGAGGAAATATTAAGAAAAGATATCAGAGAAATAAAATTGTGCCACAAACTAAAATAGTCATATCTATAAGTTAAAGGTAATGATAGACAGAAAATTAGGCCAGCAAAGGTGTTATTTTCTGCCACTACAGAAAAGGGAATATTAAAGTTTACAGGAAACAAGAAGGCACATGATTTTTTTTAATTACTCGATCCTTTTTTGATGTGATGAGCAGCAACTTAGAGCCCCTTTTAGCGAAAAGTATGAAAGCTGCTTTTAGAAATTTAAATTATTTTCACTCTCAATCACTTGTTTTAAATGCAGTCAGAGAAGTTTTCAGCAAAATGAGAGTGCGCGGTAAAAAATGTCTACTTTCATTTCAAAAAGCAATTATCTCTGTATCATTATTATTTTCATTGTTAGAAGATTTAAACACCGTCGGAGTATGATACATTTTAACCCCTAGATTAACTCAAGATGCTCTAGAGAGTTTGTTTAGCCAAATTGGAGGTTTTGGCAGATTTAATGACCATCCATATCCTACCGAACTAATTACAAGATTTAAACATTTGTTAATTGCAAATAAGCTACCTAATCTTTCGTCAAAAGTATGCACAGAAATAAAAAATTCAGAAATAGGTTGTTATATAACTGCGGAATTGTTCAAAAAAGACGCAACAAAAAGTATAGTTTCCGAAAATAATGATATTCTTGACAACGCTGAGGATATAATGCATGTCTTAGGATATTGACCTTAATTTGGGAAACAAAATGATCAATTCTCAAGAAAAAGGACGAAATTATATTGCTAGTTACACAGCATTTCGCCTAAAAAATATTGATTCAAAATACCACCTTTTATACCCTTCCATTATGATTTTTCCCAGTGGTATTAAAATGGAAATAAAATTTCAATTTTAAGCAGAAAAATACGTCGTATTTGAAAAAACCTTAGTCTTCGATCATGATGGTAACACATATTTATATATTTACTTAATTTTTTTTAAGAATAGTGGTGATCAAAATCATTTAAAATATAAGTTTATAAAAGAAAAAANGAAGTTATATTGCTGGTTACATAGCATTTCGCCTAAAAAATATTGATTCAAAATTAGAAATACCATCTTCGTAAAACATCCAACAACAGGGAGCAACACGGAATGGATAAATCTCATATCTAAGGGCGGATTAATTATTCCGTCAGCAGCATGGATGGAAGTATGTCAGGAATTTGAGAACATTTTTCAAAGTGTGCATGGGACATCTTACAGAAAATCAAAAAGTGTCATCCAAGAACTTACAGATGAATTAGAGGGACGATATCCCGATATTAACTGTAACTTTGTATTAACTGTTTTAAGTTAATATCGGTTCCTGTATCTTGCCAGATTGTTTTTAAATGTGTTCGTTCGTGATGTTAGATCATGCTCATCTACTTAATTATTAGTTAAAAGATACATAACCACACAGTTTCCACGGTCACATTTGATATCCATCAAGGTATCAGGAGATAAATGGATGGCACCCATTTAATTGTTTGCAAAACAACCAAATGTGTTATTTTGCGCAATCATGACTGGGTATTTAACATGCATTCGTAAAATAACTCTAATTTCCTGTGACTACGTACACAATTTCTTGTTAGACTGGCGTTTGCGATGGCAATTAATAAAGCTCAGTATTAAACGTTTGAAGAAATGGGTGCGTATGTAGATTAAAACTGTCCTCAACGATGTGTTGCTATATAGAAATGTCGGAATATGTCTGACATAAAAATTTAAATTGTCAGCTCCAAAGATGAGGATGAAAGCCCAATTATAAATATTGTTTAAAGACAAATTTTGTAAATAACATCATTTTTATATATTATTGATTTGTTTGTATATTGTATGATATATTCTACTGGTGCACACTGAATTTCTGTAGATAAGGTTATACACGCTTTTACAAAANACAAAAAAAAAAAAACAATCACAAGTCGCTGTATTTGGTAATAATTAATGGAGATTACTGAGCAGGAGGACTGTGCCCCTAATATCTATTAATATTTTCTAGGGAGCACAATAGTAATAGCATCCGTCATTCTATGGAATGCTAAGGTTTTATATCTAATGACTAGGGAAATTTTCCGTTGATAATGCGAATAAGAAAAACATAAAGAGCAAGTTAGAATATTTTTAAGGATAAAATAAAATAACATTTTTATATATATGAAATAGGAGCAATAATTATGAAACATTATGAGTAGTAGTATTCTATTTTATTGTAGAAAAACTTATTTAACACATTGAAAGCCATGGGGGTCACCGGTGAAGCCAAGATTATTAGAAACACATAATTTGAGTAAATTTTAATGCTTTTAATTTCTTTATATTATTATCGTTACTAAAATGGTTTGAAGAAATTAATACAATATAGAACACACAAAAATCATTTTGGCCAAACGGGCATTTTGGCAAGCCATGTAAAATTAGCGTGGCATTCAACGTGTTAAAAGGGGGGGATATAGAGATCAAGATTTTCAAGAGCCGACCGGCCTGTGTAGGGATCAGGGAACTGATCCTGAATTAGAAAGGTTCTGGGTTCGAATACCGGGTAAGGCATGGATGTTCTTTCATTCTCTGTACTATTACTGTGTATTACTTATTCATTCTCTGTGCTCCTTACTGTGGGAGCAACGTTGGCCCACCTAATATGGTGCCCCTGAAAGAGTGGTTAACAAATCTGCCCTTCAGATGCCTGTATAACCTAGGTCATTCTCCAGGTGGGCATTGATAAAAAAAAGATTTTCAAGACGCTTTTTACAATATTTCATTAAAATTTAAATAACGAAAATTTTCCAAGAAAGTCCATTTAAATAGTTTACAAGTTGAAAAACATTGTTTTCATGATTTCTTGGATAATAAGTCGGAAAATTGAATACGATGACCAAAAAATACCATTAGATTATAAATTCGAGACTTTAAACAGATGACTACATACCTTAAGCTAAAGAAGTATCTATATAACTGTTAATGCATCAATGGCAATTGAAAAATGCCAATTAGTTACTTTTTAGTTGACAGTTTACAAATTCCTAAAACAAATTCCTATAAACAGTTTTAATTTTTATACCAATAAAAGATAAAAGCTGTGTCACTAACATTTGACAAATTTTACCATGAACAAAAACTTAGGCCTACTAAAATATGCGACTTACTAAAATATCTGAAAAATTAATTACATCATTCCCTCACCCTTCTAGTAAAGTTGAAAAAAATTCCATTTTCCCACACATCATATGTTAAAGTTAGCCAGAAATACATAGGTCAGTCAAATCAGACTTTTTTTTCTCCCAAAGTGAATGAAATGAACTAAAAAACCTGAATGGAAAAATTAAAATGGTGTTTGTCAAAATACAGATGAACGACAACACAGCATTTGTATTCTTTAATAAAGATGTTTATTTTAAATATAAAACACGCATTTTTTTTTTATCTATTTGAGAAATTTTATTTTAGACAATTCCAAAGGTTGCTTCATTTATTACCGGCGAAGTTCGAAATCCGGGTATAGAATGCTAAATGAGAAACAGGTAAATTATGAAAATCATCTCCGATTAGCTTAGAATGCAAAAATGGAACATTCCCGTAACAGCCCGTTGTGGATCAAGGGGGATAAGGCTTCACAATTTCGTGACCAACGGCATGATTGTAGCAATGTGGTCAGCACTGCACACAGGCCACCTTTTCTTCCCAGACAAACTGGTACCCATCTATCTGACGCTGGATCGGCTTCAAGTCGCCACTGGGTTTGAACCCAGCTGTTTACAATGACAGCCTAGTTGCAACAAGTAAGTTTATTTTAATTTCTTTTTTTACATATATATGAAAATCATGTTTCACTGAATAAGAAATTTTTTAACTCATTTTTCTTTACGCATTTTGAAAAAATTATTTTTTTCAGAATACAATTTGTCATTCTATAAAGCATTATATACAACTATATACATTCCTAGGCATGATATACCATGTCTAATCTATAGAATGCCGTTTTATACTTTGCCGGTAACATATACATTGAATACAACGAACACATTATTACTGACAAATAAACGGATTTAAAAATATCTCAGAATGAATCCATAACTTCAGATATACAGAACTTTAGAATTACAATTTAAATCAGATTACAATGCCTAACTGTTAAAAACGTTTATTATTCGAATCTTCTGTTCCTCGTTGGGTTGAAATTTCTTCTTTCGTTAAATACTTTTCCGGTCTATTTCTTAACACTAAAAACATAAGAATCACTATTGCACCGGATAAGACACATGACGCTATAACTACATAAATAAGCACGGCGGGCACTTCGTTTATGAAATAACTTATCGTATATGGCACCATCATTTCTCCAAAAGCAGCTCCGACTGCAAATAAAGACACCATCTTATTTGTGACCGTTATGTACTGATCTACCCAGGCTATTGCCGAGGGGAACAAGGAAGCCACTCCTGCGCCCAAAAGAGCTGATGCCAACCATAGTGCCCATTCATAATCAGCAGCAAGACATTGAAGTATAGCTGCACCTACTGAAGTTAAAATGATATCAAATATTACCATTGTCCTGTTGCTGAGTTTTATGGCTAGGAAAACAGACACGAACCTGAAGATGGTAAATGAACCCCAAAATGTCGACGTTATGTACGAGCCAACAGTCTTGGTGAGCTGCAGTGGTCCTTTTACTGAATAAATTGCGACCATTTGAGCGAAACCTATCTCGGTACCAGTTTCGACAAATAACAGGAGGAAGTTTAACGACACAATTAATGTAACAAATCCAATAGCTGAAGATCTAGTTTGATTGTTCTCTTCTTTTTGGCCATTGTCGTCGAGAGGAGACGCTATACACATGACAAGAAATGACGCTGTTACCAATAAGCCGACACCACCGACAATTGTGTATGCATATGTTATAGGAGGTAACGGAACAGTGTGAACAGAACTATTAATTTGCGCTTGTGTCTCTAAATGAGTTACATTGTTGTTATTCGTCACATTGTTAACGATTCCTTCAAGGTGATGAGTGGTCAGAAAAGGTGCTGCGATTAGAGGGGATATTAGCCCTCCAACACCATAGACAAAATGTAAAGCTTGATAATAAGGTCCACTTTCTTTACCCCATAAATAAAGGCAGCATACATTGGTACCTATAAATTATAATGTAAAAGTCAAACAAAAGTTAGTCAAAACACATACTACAATTACGTGGATTTGTGCTATTAGATCCCTAGCGAATAATTTAAATTGGATGCGACGTACCTGCAGAATTTAGTTAAGTTTTTCTTAATCAACTCCAGAGGAGGTGTTACACGTGAACCTTTCATTATTTCTTAAAGGTTACTAAATATTTTTCCGAAAAAAAAATTTTTTACTGCATTTTTTAACCAATTTGTGCCTGCGTCCTTTTAACCAGGGAGAATGACCCCAAATAAAATTCATTGACGTCCTGCTAAAAAACATTTTATTTTATTAGAAATACATATCTGCCCACTATAATTTTCTACGAGGATGATTTTTCCAAGTGGTATTAATTTTACAACCAAATGACAATAACACACAGGATTATTTTTATATTAGTCTACAGCTTAATCCTAGTGGCGGCAATTTCGGCACTTGGCAAATGTGTTTACAGTGGCTGGGCGAAACGGCTCTAATTCCATCCATCATGTACTTTCAAAAATTGAGGTAACACATTGTGGTCAGCTGACCTTTTGGTTGCTGCTAGAGCTTGAAAGTAGCAGTTTATTATGCGTTATGCCCAGCCACTCTAAAGGTGGCGCTGCAGTCGCAGTGAAAAATTAGTGGAGAGAGTAAAATAAAAATGTATGGAAGAAATTGAGCCCATCTGAGGTTAAAATTAGAGGAATATTTTAAGTTCATAAGTTCGCCGTTGGATAAAATAAAAAAAATCTATTAATATATAAAATAATTTTTTTAAGTGGTAGTCAAAATTATTTTGAATTATATTTATGAAGCCAATAGTTAAATACCAAAACATAATCTTTGCAACCGTTTTGAATGAATAAAAATAAAATATTCCGTAAGAGTTGAAAATATAACATTTTTGAGTCTTAGACGTTGAATGTTTATTACTTAATTTAAATTTTTTACTATTCATTTTGTGATAAAATTTAAAAAAACATGATAATAATATTGACCTTTCTGATAATTAGTATACAAATTATATTATATTCTATGTGATTGTTTTCATTCAGGCACGAGTGTATATAGTAATTTATATTTTGTTTTTTCGGAGAGTATTGTTGCACACAAAAATTATAGTATGTTTCTTGAAAAAAAAAAAAAAAACTAAGCTCAAATCGTTGGTTCATATAGCTCTCGATTTTTCGAATAAAACTTCCTCTTTTTATTATTTATTTATTTCAACTTTTTTTTTGCAGGGACGATAAGGATGTTTTTAATTTCTGTTTCGGTTATTCGAGGCAAAAACTGTTTAATATTTGAACTTATAGCGCATGATTCAAACGGAGATTAACCGCACATTTGTTGGCGTTGATCACTGATACTGCATTTCAACTTATTAAAATAATATCAAAGGGTCATCAATTTAAATCTTTCAGTAGAAACCAATGTCCTTAAAATAAGGTATAGAATTTTAAGTATCTTCAATAAAACCTTTAAGTATGGAAATTTATGGTTAAAGTACCGTTGTGAAAGTTGTTTGTATTTAATGCACTGGGTCTAAATATGCTTCATTGTTAAAGGCATGATTCAAGTAATAAATATTTAGATTTTGTTCCTATGCGCAAAAACCTGTTTTGCTGGGTAAGGTAAGTAGTATTTAAATAAGTTTGAACTTTGAGCTTCGATCTTAAATGCATATTTCTAATTTTAAGTGCATGGTTTCAAGTTTTTTAGTATAAATTTATATGCATATTTTGTGCTTCTTTTAGTGCAAATAGTTATTAATTAATACTGGTAAATTAATTAGTTTCAAATTAAATAAGGCAGTATCGTTAATATAATTCTCCGTATTTTCACGTGGCGAAAATAGAAACCCTTTGCTTTCCGGTATGAGTATTTTCAAGAGGTAAATTTACACCAAGCTATATAACAGATGCCCCACAGAAGTTCTCAGTTTTAAAATTCCGCTGAAGCAGATACTTTTGTTCTAAAAAGATAACATTTCTGGAAGAAACTATCAGTCCCCATACTTACCTGTATCTAAAAGACCCATAGTGAATCCATTAACTGTCATAAATCCTGTCAGAGCTCCGATAACTCGACTCCAAGGGATTGCGAATGTTGAAGCTGCATTTATGAAATTAAATATTGTAAAAATGAGCTGTTTTTTGTTAGTCATGTCAAACAATACACCACCTAACAAAGAAATAAACAGAAATCGATTATTAAAAGCATTTTAATTAACCTATTGCGATCGAAAATTATAAAATGCTACTATTTGAAGTAGAAAAGAAGTAGTTTAGATATATTTTTCAGGAGTTTCAAATAAAACGTTTCGTAATTATTATTTGTCCTTTAGTTTGAGTCTAATTTTTTTTTGATTTAAAATAATTTTCTGCCAAAAGAAACATATTTCTCAAATTTATCAATGAAAAAATTGAAGTTACCGCATTTGTACTATTTTATCTAATTAAATGATCTTACGATAGTTGAAGTGTAGCATATACTTTAGTTTTTGATCTATTTTAACGTCTTATTTGGCGCAGCATGTCCTCCTCTGGACTTTGTGCCACTAAACCCCATGTTCAATTCAATTGATGTCATCAAGAGTATTAAGCTGTCTAGAATAGTATGGTCATTTAGTCTAATAGGCTGGTCATTTAGCTCGAGTAAAAGAAAATCGATGGACTTGCAACATATTGACCTGGTATCCTCGTGATATTATACGACTAAGAAGAACGACTAAAACAAGATAGTCAAATGATATCAAAAAAAAAGTTGTGATTGTGAATTGAAAGAAAAGAGCAGCGGTTTTTTAAGTTTTTAGGAAAAGACTTTCTTCCATTAATGGATTGATATTAGATGAAGTTCATATCAATAAATAACGAAAAATAGTGTTAATATGAATAAATAATGGCAGCATTAATAATTAATATTTGCTCTTAGGATCTTATTCTCTGATGAAAATAATTTGTCGTAAAAAAAATCAGGTTTATCAATTTTTTTAATGAATGAATTACTTTGTCATTGAGAGAACTAAACGCGTAAAATAGAAATGGGCTGGCCATAAAGCTTGAGTCACACAAAAAAAAAGAAACTATGGTAACTGCAACAGATTGGATTTTAGTATCCTCGTGACATCATACAACTAAGAAGACAACCAAACTCAGCAAGGTCTAATGATAATTGAAAAGTTAGTGTGAATTGGATGGGAAAAAACAGCAGATTTTTTCAAAATTTGATTAAAAAAAAACATTGGATACCCAACTAAAGTAATTAAATTCCATCATTGAGTTAATTGTATGTTATTATAAATAAATTTACTAAAAATTTCTTTGTTAATTTATATAATTTTTACCATGTGCAAATCCGTGGCTAAAAATATGTGCAAAACAGGCAATTCATGTTTTTTTCCTCTTTTCTTAAATAAAAGTTAATTTTCTAAAATCATTAGAATTGTATAATTAAATATCAACCTTATTAATTATAAACTTCTTTAAATTATCCAGTATAATATTACCTTGCGCACATCCATTTTCGTGCCAATCTTTGGTAACTAACAAATCAAATGTGCTTCAGTACTGCATTAAGAACGTACTAATCCCTGTATTTACGCTTTTACCTTAATTTGCGCTTCTGTTTTCATATTTTGTAATCTAGCAATCTTATTACGAAATTTATTTTAAATCATTCTTGAAAATTTTCCCATTCATGTAAATTCATTTGAATTCGCCACTAGCTTTATTCGATTTCGTTTTATGTTTTGTTCTGTTTTTCTATAAAATTTATTTTCTGTTTTTTACGTGATATTTATTACTTAATGTGTTCTATTCTATTTTGTTTCAAAAAAATTTTTGAAGCTTCTCACACTATTGTATTGATATATTATGCTTTGATTATATTGATGTAATATTAGAAAGTACTCCTTTTTGCGGATATAATCGTGTGAGCTGATGAAGAGATCATATCTTTTTTCCCCGATTTTATATTGATTGATTTTTTTTAAAAATAATTTTCTTCTTTCCTCATTATTCTTTAAATTTTTCCACGCTTTTTCTACATTTTGAACTTGCATTTATGTGTATAACACTTTTTTTTAAGTATGCTACAGTACATTTCTTTTTTTCGACATCCTAATTTATCTTATAAAAAAAATTCTATGAAAAAATGGAAAAAAAAACTTTTAGAAATTTTTTGATAAATTTACAGCAAAGTGTCTAAATATGTTTCAAAATCTGTTACAGATAAAAACGTATTTTGTTTGTTTGTTTAAAAAATTACCCAGATGAATTTATTAGTTCGAAGCAGAGCAAGCAACAAGGTAAGAGTTTTTATATTCAATTTTTTAAAAATTATATGCGAAAGATTAGTGCGTTTATGATGGTAAAAAGGGTTTAAAATCACCGGAACTCTCTTTCAGATCAGCCTTTTTCCAAATTTTACCTGTTTTCGATAAAAATGTGTTAAAAGTTGTTCTAGCTTTAAATTTAGTGTTCCATCAGCCGCATTGTGGAACAAAAATTATTTTTCGCGGTTTAAAATAAAAACAAATAAAGATAAAATAAAGTTAAAAAATAAAATAAAACATAAGAAAAAAAAATCTCAATATGGTTTTTTGTAGTAAAATGTCCAAGGAATATGACGGTGTATTTTNAACAGGCCGGAGTCCAAAATCTGTTTTTTTTTTTTTTTTTTGGTTTATTAATGGAAATAGCAATTAAATATAAACAAAGTCGAAAAAAAAATTACAATTTTTCAGTTGAATTTTTATTAATATGATAAATCCTTAGAGTAAATAAAAATATTAAAATTATATATATGATTTATATATATGATTTATACATAAATGTATTTCTAAGATATATATGAATTCATTATTTCATATAAATACTATTAAAAGCAGAGCCAATTCCCTATTTCTGCCCTGTACAATGAAAATGTAACTTTAGGGTGCTCTATAAAAAAAAAGCCTTACGTTGCCGAGGTAAAAAAAAATGTGTTCATTTGTTTGGTATATATACTCAAGAACTAAAAAAATATTAACTGCGAATATGGCTGATATATCGATTTTTATAGGTCATGTCATTCTTATAATAATGATAAAATTAATGAAAAAATTATAAAAATAAACTTGAGATTATTATTTTAATCATAACATTTTCAAAATTTTTTATATCTAGCAAAATAGATTCATTATATTTTTTAAATTCGATAATCGAATTTGTAATTAAAATTCTAAATATTTTGATTCAATTTAGTAAGTTATTTGTTTTGATAAATATTTGCGATTTTGCATCCATTACTTTATTTATTAAAATTATTAACCACAAATTTGTAATCAAAGATCTCAAAAACTAATAGTAAATACTTTTTATTTATTTATTTTTTTCAATAATCATCCGCCATTTTGTTTTTTAGAAATTTTGACTTCATATTTGAAATCAGCGACCCAAAAAAACTTATAGTTGATCAATTTTTAGAACATGGAAGTTAATTTTCTAATTTTGGCCGCATTTTTCTGATTTTGTCCCACTGTGAGCCGCACAATTAACCATTTACATAGAGAAAAAAAAAGTGTTTCTTTGATATTTTTTAAATTTATAGCTCAATTAAGATTTTTAATGACCAGACAGTTGATCACTTTAAACTTCAAACCAAAGTGTCATAATGCATTTAAGTAACAAAAACAAATAGTAATTCAAACTATTTTATACAAAAGGGAAAGGTAGTGATGTCAATAAAGCTCCGTTTAAGAATGTGAACTTAAAGTGTAAAAGAAGTAATTATTCGAAATTGAAATTTCCCATCTAAATTCTGACGAAAGATTCTATAACTACATTTAGTTCAGATTTTAAACTAGATGCTTAAGTTTTAGCCTAGTAATTGCAATTTTAAAGTTGCTTCAATTTTAACCAAGTCTATCATATTTTCTAACCAGTAGCAAGATTAAAATATTCTTATTAACTACAGAGATGAGTTTTATAGGTTAAATTACACTATTAAACTTAATTTGTCAGGAAAAATGAGAATAAAATAGAAAGATCGTTATTCTTATTAAAATTGATTCTTAATAGATTCATAAGTATGATTCTCCATCGAAAGATCATGGTTTTATAAATTTTTGTAATCTAGTTTTTTACTTTTCTCTTTATTCCAGATATATTTAAAACAAGTTTGTGCATGCAAGAATAGATGCGATCACTTTTAGGAAGAATAGTTTAAGATTATTTGCAACAAAATAATTTTTTTTATAAATTTTATTACAGATTATTTCGAGTCTTTAACAATAGTATAAGTAAAGCACACTGGAAGCAGTAAATATTTTTCACGCTTTCCAATATTAGAAAAAATATCTAAAAATTCATCTAGTTCTTTTTTTTAATTATATATTTAAATGTTTCTCACCAAAAATGTTAAAATAACGTTTATCATTAAAAAAATCAACCACAAGTGATGTGTGGCATTTTTAAGTTCTTTCGTTATTACTGTTTCCATGGTATTCTATAACTGTAACTTACCAAATATTGAACCAAATAAATAGCCTGCTGATCTTGCTGTATAAACAAAGGCTATATGTTTTGTGTCTGTTCCAACGATGTTTTGCAAGTCCAAAAGAGTGGGTCCTGTTATGGCCATGCACATGCCCTTGAAGTAAAGAGATTAATAAATGCAAATACATGACTGCAAATATAATTTACACTAAATGTCCATAATAATGACGATTCGTTATAGCGAACGAAATTGTCGTCGTTGTAGAGAACATCAAATAAAATTACCTCTTTATTTTATATTAAATAGCTATTTTAATTTAAAATACATAACTAAAAGTAGACTGCGTTTGCCTAAAGATTATAGATTGAATTACTTAGCTCTGTACTTTAGAATATGCAAAAACTTTTACGGTAGGAGTTTATATATGCATGACGTATTTAAGTATGAGTAAACTGTTAACAAATTTGGCTTGCTAGTTTTAACAACTTACTTTGTATTGGCTATAAATTTAAAACACACATAATCATAAAGTTCCTTCATTTACGAACTTTCTGGAACTGAGCGGCATTTTTAATAACAGAAATATATAAATACTAGTGGGCTGCGCCCTCTGCTCGCTGACGCTCACCAACCCCCGAAAATTGCTACGCAATCTTATATGGTTTGCTTCGCTCGCTACTAACTTAGGTGCATTGCAAATGCACAAAATTCTAAGAATTCAAAACAATCATTCAAATCCATATAACAACTTTTTTAAAATAAAAAATTACATCTTTTTAGTAAATACTAAGTCATTAAAATAAATTTGAATTCAAATAAATGACATGTAATTCGTTAAACCTATTAGAAATGTGCTATAGTATAAAATCTGAAAGCGTAACAGCACGGCTGAGACTCATTTTTCAAAGAATAACTAAAAACAATAATAAAACAAATAAATTCGTGATATAAATCAAAAATCGTCAAGTAAATTCGTAATATAATTCGTGAAGCGCTTTCGACAAAATACTAAAATAGAGATCTATCGACAAAGACTACTCACTTCTGCCTAGCTTATGCTCTCTCTGGTTATTTCAGTTACCGTTTTAAAAAGAGCTAAATGTTAAGCCACCTCAGCTAGATTTGGCATGTGACATTTTTAGCGGCAATTATTGGTCGATTTTCTAGCGTTGCCATTCGGGAAGATGTAATGAGGCTTTTTTTTGTCACCGTGAAAGAGAAATATATATATAGATAATGTCAAAAAGTATATAATTTTTTTTTAAATAAAACCTTTAATGCGACAAGCTGTACGAAAAAAATAGCATTTAAGAATAAATTTTCAATTCTTTTTATTAGATGCGGCAATATAACCAGCGCGTTAGAATACAAAGAAAAATGCGTGAAAAGTTTCTAATAATAAAATGCAAGTTTTTTCTAGAATTTGAAAAACTTTAAATTAGTATTTAAATTTTTAATCAGAAATAATACTGAGCATAAAGTACAGTACAGTTTTCGTAAAAGGAATTTTCTCCACATGGAATTTTCCTCTGTAACGGAATTTTTAATTGGAATGTTAAATTACATTCAAAATATTTTCCCTTTAACGAAGTACTTGTATCTTTAACAAATTTTTCGGACTCGAATTTCAACATTTTTGAAGAAAGTTGCTATTTTTGTAACCAACTATGCACTTGTTTCTGGTATTGGACTTCTTTTTTTTTAGATCACTCTAAACGTTTGAAACTTTTTATGAAAAATCAACAACACAAAATTCAAGCCTGCGTAAAATCACGTAATTTTTTTTTAATAAATTAGAAGTAAATACTAATTCTTATTAATTAAAATTAAAAGGAAGTTGGATCAAGAATATAAATCTCTCCATTCTCCAAATTGATCGATTTAAAATTCGTATTTGTAGTTGCAGGAAATGGGATTGTTCTGAATACACACAAATATCATGACAAAACTTCTCACACATAAAAGCAAAATATATTTTTAACTATCAGGGATTAACCCGTTGACATACGAAGACGTCATTTGTTTCTTATGTCAAAACAATAATTGACGTGTCTCAGACGTCTTCAACAAAGAGATGCCACTCTAGGACAGCAAATATATTTTTTAAAGTGGTTGTTTATTAATTATAATTCTTTATTTAATAAATTCTATTTAGTAGATTTTTATCCACCACTATTTCTAAATAATTCGTAGGCTTATATAATTCACCACATAAATACGTAACTTCGTGATCGATTTATTTCTTATTTAATCATTAGTTTTTCTAATTATTATACTAGTTTTATTTTGTTTAAACATATTATTTCTTCTTTCAACTCAGCTATCTAATTCATTTTTTATGTTATTTAACATAAATTACTATGTAAATATATAATCTATTATTAATCTTTGCACCACTGATATGCAAAGCTAATTTTGTGTCATGTGACCTTTTACTTATCATGAACGAGGATTAAGGGTCTGGATTGACCCAAGGACCTCATTAAGCCAAGGCTAAGTAGTAGCCACCGTGACTTCGTGCTAAACCTTTTAAAAAGCAAGCAGTAATAGTGAAATATGTGTTATTAATAATGTTATTCAAATAAAGTAATTTGATGAAGATACAAAGCTACATTTGAATGACATAACATCGTGTCCATGTTTTAATCAACTTCGCTTAAAGCTTTTTGGGAGTACTATTTTATGCTTGCAAGATTTGTTAGATGATACTCACCATCCTAACATTTTTGCATTTTTACGTGCCGTATGTATTTTTAACAGCATATAAAAGTTTTAACACATCTACAATTTTATACACTTTTGCAAACATCTTACTATTTTGTACATTTTACTCACTTCGTGCGTTTTATACTGTACTCAAACTTTTATCTGATTATACTCATACCTTTTATCTAATTTTATTCACTGATTTATCAGTTATAATTGTGCTACAATTAAATTTTGTATGTACTTAGGCTTTAGAACAATTACCGTATTGTCTGGCGCAGCATGTCCTCATTTGGACTTTGTGCCACTAAACCCTACATTCAATCAATCAATCATTGAATGACATAACAACCGATAAATAAATAGTATTTCTAGACACATTACTTTTGTGTTTAATGATATGTAAAGGAGTTAAGCTACGAACCCTTAAATATTTACTCATCTCAGTCTTTTGGTCCTTTTAACATTCTGTAACAAAATACAAGTTTTTTACACAAATTTCGTTTTTACTCAAAGTCTTCGATCAAACTTTGGCATTCACATCATTCGTATTTCAACAAAAAAAAGTCGGTCATCGTCTTGGGCAGAATTCACATTAGCGGCGAAACAACTCTAGTTTTGGTTATTAAATAATTAAAATAAATCAAAAAGTATACTAGTGGGATGTTCATAGCTGCTGCACATAGCAAAAGAAGCCCTTCGACAATGTAAACTGGACGTTTCAGCAAGACTCAGCACCAGATCGCAAGGTCAAAAAGACACAAGAGTTGCGCTATAATCGGGTATGCTCTCATCAGAAGAATGGACACTCTACTAGCCAGATCTCAATCCCATCATGGATTACAATATATGGTCCATTTTGGAGTTCTGCACTAAACCACATAAAAGTTTGGACTCTCTAACGAGCAATCGGCAGGAATGGGATAGTTTAAAGTATACAAAGGGTTGCCATTACGATAACGATTAAATTTATTTGTTAGAATTAGTCTACTTCTATTATTATTTGTTAGTTGAACTCAGACCACTTGCTTGTATGCCCTTTGCTGGACAAACAATCTCAAGAGCGGGGTGATCTCTGTAAACTTTACTGGGATGCCAGAGATAACATGAACTCTCTGTAAAGACTACTCCTCATTTTTAACTGTATATATATTTTTTTTCTTACTTTAATTTTATCTATGTGTTCTTCTTGTGTTAATATGCGTTTGTCATGTGTTTTCTTTGTTTTTTATTGTAATTTTGTTCTTTTTTACTCTTTGTTTATGTCCACTTAAAGTTGAACATTGTATATGGATTAATATTTCCAATAAAGCCATCTGTAACTACATATTTTGCAGGGCTCGAAATAACTCAGAAATTTTACCCGTCCCCGAGAACGGCTTGTCCAACAATGCACCCTTCTTTGAAACTAACCCGTCGCTTCTAAATAAATAAAAATATAATTTTCTCATATTTATTACAAGCATTTATATAAACTGCACAATGAATTAGTTACTAGGATTACATTATGCAGTAATAAAAGAAATAATTTAAATGACAAAGATCAAGTTATCTGCAATGTCAATTTATCTGAGGGTACTGCGTGTTTTTAAATGAATCAAATATGACATTTGCCAGTTCCACAATCAAGCAAATGATGTACAGAGGTTTTTGCTCAGAAATCTGAAAGGAGTTTTTAATTTAGATAGATGTACATAATTGCGTTTAACGCTTCTCGTTTAAGACCAGTATGTAATGTGTTTTTTTGTAAGCTCATGCTGAAAAGCCCCTTTCCACCGCTGCAGTACTCCCAGACAGAGAAAACATCAATTCCATCATACGCAGTATTTCTAGATTAAAGGGTCATTTTAGAAGTGATGCTCTAGACTCTTGTAAGATAACAAAAATTGAAAATGTATCACGAACATTAACGGGAAAATGGCCGTCCGCGCGGACGTCGGATTCGAGAAATTCGTAGTCCGCCGGGAATTTTTGACCGCCGAGGACGGGCGGTTTTTCGAGCCCTGATATTTTGTTAGTTATTCTTTATAAAGTTATGTTAAAAATTGTTTGTCCGGTTTTTTTCCTCACCCTACATTATGTATTTTATAAAGTTTATTTTTGAATGGTTTGTTTTTATTTGCAAGAGTTTAATATATTTAGAATATATACGAAATACTTTTTTTGCATCGAAATCTATGTTGTTTTTTTGTAGGTAAGAAGAAAAAAACTTCTTGCTACCAATTTTACTTTTTCACAAAGTATAGCGCATAGCTTCTAAAACGAAACAGTTTTAAGAAAATATTTAGAACATCGGAATTTGATCACACGAATTTCTCATTAATGTGGGAAAGTCTGCTCCATTCTCTACTCACCCCTCGTGAAAATAATGATGAGGTAAGGATAAAATATTGTAAACGAGGAAAATAGTTTATTCATGTTTTTACGTTGCAGGTGGGGGGGGGGATTAAAAGGTTGAGGATATGTAGAAAAACGCAGTTTGGGATGTTAAAAAAAAGTTAGGAAGGATCACAAAAACATAATTAGTATTGTTTTTTATTATTTAACCATAAAACATTTGTTTTATGTAACTGTATTTGCTATAAAAATACCGCTCTTATTAAAAACGTCCATTAAAACAAGGGATTGTAAAAAGAAATTCAAGTTGTAAAGGAAAAGAAAATTCTAGAAACAGAAAATTCTAGAAACAGAAAGAAAACAATATAAAACATAATTTAAAATCACTGCTAATGGAAAAATAATTAAAACTGTAGAAAAATATACTATTATAGTTGTTCATATTAATTTTGAAGAACAACAGACTATAATATAGCTATACATATAAAAAAAAAATCTAAATGCGAGGAACAGTAAATAATAATATCGTTTTTGATTTTACCTATTTATTGTCTGATATCTCAGTTTTTCATAATACCTTGAAAATGGGGGGGGGGGGAAATGGCGTGTCATAATTAAAAGCTGATAAAAAAAAAACTAAGATGTTATCAAAATGTCGTATTTTAAAAAAATAATGAAGAGCGATAAAATTGTAATATATATTCATCAGAAATATTTAAAACAAAAGACTGACAGCTGTAAAAAGTAAAACTGAAATTGCAAAAATGCTTCTATGACACCAGACCTTCCCCCACCGACCTTATTTGTTTTGGATATTTATGATCCATTACATATTTTGTTTATGATATCTTTTCATTGAAAACTGCATTGCTTAAAAATTTAAATGATGTAATACAGATCCTGTACTTACAGCTGTGTTCTCAGAAGCATTTAATTTAGAGTTAAATGAAGTTGACCATAAAATTACCGTTTTGTTCACTCTTTTTTAAAGGAATCAAATCAGAACATTTATCCAAGTACTGAGATATGTGCTAAAATTTTTATGTTGGAAAGATGCGATGGATTTGAGTTAGTTTGATAGTAACCTTTTATGGGTGTTAAATTTAATTATATATCCATCCAAGTTGCGGCAATACAGATAAAAAAAATTAAAAAAAAACACCAATCTTGCAAAAGTTGTTACTCATGCAGCACTACCCAGGAGGCTCGTGTAGGTTAAAGCATGGTACGGGCGAAAGAGACCATTGATGTAGAATCAAGAGTTTTTGCAATAAAATACAGATAAAAAATTTAAGGAACTCATACCTCGTTTATGAATTATTTTAACTTTATGATTGTAAATTAATTACATTAATTATAATGTTCAGGGAACGAAATTTTAATATTTCAATTTATCATCTTTTAATGATTTAACGATTTTACTTACCGTTAACAAGGCGCAGAGATACAGATTGCATGTTTTTAAAATTTTAACAGTTTTCACAGTAATCATACTCTTTTTTTCCCCCCTTCTCTTTGTTGAGTTCGACTGTCAATTATCTCATCCACTGAAGAAAATCAGCTGCAAAAAAATAAATAAATAAACGGAAACTCTACTAGTTAAAGTACACATTCAAATTTTAGATATTCATTTCGAATTTAGAGAGGAGTACATAACGGATTGTCATGCAAATTAGGCTATGTAAATGTTATGCAAATGAATATGTTGTTGCTGTTGTGTGCTTTTTTTTTGTTCGAAAGTAATAGTGATTGAAGATTTTTAGATATGAAAATAATTTAAAATTTCCTTTATTAACATTTTATGTTAAAATTACTTAAACCCTTTCGCGCCGACTGTCACAAATACGTGCCAGCATAAAACCGCATCAATCAGGTTTAAAAGATAAAACTGGTAACCAAAGTAGTTCTTTAGCAGTTTATTTGTGGGCTGGGTTATAATTGTTTGATTTATTTAATTCAGTATTACTTTAGTTCAAAATAAAACTATTTAGTTATACTTTGAACTAACATTGATTATATATATGATTAAACTAACAATAATAAAGTCAAAGCAAAGTAAGTTTGTCAAATTAGCAACGCCTACATTTAAGCTACCGTTTTTTATTTATTTACATCCTGATTCTGATACGAATGCTTTTATGAATCACCCGTCCCCAAGGGGTTAAATATCATCTCTTATACTGTTGGTACTAAAAATTGTTTCTGGTTATTGGTACTACCGATATTTTGGTTCAAGTTCATATTAGTGTAAATTAAAAATACCACAATGGCATTAGTGTAAATTAATAGTAGGGGAGAGTGGGGTCAATTGTAACATGGTACGATTATAACAGAGCAAAAATTTCGAGTGTCGGGTTCTAGATTTGGTTCCTAGGTGGCGCACAAGGTGTATTTATTAAATCTACATGCACACACCTGCTGGCAACCATTTTTATGTACTTTTGAGAGAGTTACATCACAAAAGATATTTTCAAGCTACGAAAGGGGCCGTTCAAAAAGTACGTACATAAAAATGGAGAAATTTAAACCCCCTCCCCCTTTCGTACATAACCGTACACAAGGTCTTACTCCCCCCCCCTTAGAGTACGTGCATTTATTAGTCTACCCCCCTTTTTNTTACTCGTCTGTCAATTAATACTAATAATATATTGGATTTTTTGGTAGTTAAAAATAGTTAAGTAAACAATGTTGCAATTGACCCCACTCTCCCCTACCATAAAAATGTTAAGTGTCCTAATCTAAGGTATTTCAGAAATTAAATGAGGAAAAAAAATTTACTTACGTTTTGCTTCAGTTACAGCACTAGTTTTAAACGGCAAATACATTTCTTCAAGAGAGAGAGGGAGATTTATTTTTCTTTCTTTTAAAAAGCTTGTAAATAAGTCTTATCATTTTTATCTTTCCTACAAAACTTTCTCTTTCAATGAGACATTTTCTTAAGTTACTAGCTTAAGAAAAGATTATGACTTCACATTCATTTACTGTTTTTGTATTACGTAATTGAGTACTAAAGATCAAGAAATATTTTTTTGTCCGGTCGACATCCCTTCAAACATACAGTAGCACTTAACACCAATTGGATAATCATATTTTTCGTAATTACTAACGTGCAAACTATTAAAGCTGACTTGCAGTCGTTCTTGACGTAGAACCTTAGGGTAAGATACGCAACTTAAATTTTTCTTTTCGCGGAACTACTTGAAGTCCATCGTTTAAAATTGGGTTTGACCTTCATGCAAATTAAGTTAAGCTATGATTTTTGAAAGGATTCCGATTCTTTTTAAATGATATTCAAGGCCATTTTTTTTTTTAGATGACGTTCATTTCAAATAACTTCTCATGAGTCTAAAATTAGAATAATTGTTCAAGATAGTTTTATTCAATTACAATGGATCTAACTCATAGTTGTTCCAAAATGTATATATTTCAAAGGCATAAACATACCTTTTATCATTTGAGGTTTAAGTGAAATCATTTTCTAGTAGTAATAAAGGAAAGCAAAGCAGAAATTTTTAAATTTTTGAAAACTTTAATCAGAATTTAAGAGCGTGTTTAGCTGATACTTCATATATCTCTTTAAATCATTTATATCTGTGTTGCCAGAACTTAAGATTAAAAAGTGGCGACTGTGAGGTTCAAAAGTAGCGCATTCGAACATTTTGTAGCCCCAAAAAACTACGATATATATATATATNGGGACAAGAAGAATTATTTAAATGGGGCGATTAATATTAAAATGTGGTAAACTTACGAAGAACTTGAAATTAGCCAGCGTAGCGTAAAATTTCATTTATATTTTTTCAGCTAATAATCGTTTGCTAATCTTTTTATTTTTTTTAAACAATAAAATACGATGTTTCTTTTTTAGTCGTCTAAAAGTCTATTTGCAATTTAGTAAAAAAAAAAAATGAATAAAACATTTTATTGAATAAAAAACATTTTATTCAACGAATGTCGAGTTTTATAAACGCATGCTTCTGATAGAATATGATTTACACCAGATTGTGCTTATTTAATGTGATTATTTTTTAGTTTTTTTTTCTCAATAGCTGATACAATTTTAATATACATACGTATTAATAGATTTGGAATTAAATATTTATCAATTTTTTTAATATATTTTTTATAAAAGTAGTATACTATATATTACTTCTAGCGCACTTAAATTTAAGGGGTAAAAATATTAACAAAAGCTACAAATTTTTGCACTAGTAACCTAATCACAAAAATATAATATTTTCAAGCAAAAACAAGCCCCTTCGCACCCAACATTTAAAGTTATGAATAATTAACGAAATTCATATAAAAATACATTTTCAATAAAAAAATCACTACCTTTAGCAATAAATTTATACAAAAATGAGACCCTTAGTAATTTTATGAGAGCATTGACTCTAGCACACCAAATTCTAGGGAAACCAAAAATGTCTTTTTTTTAATTAAAAAAACACTTATTCAACTAATAAATCTTACTAAAAAACACACTTCTTAAACCATCGATTTACTCCTGATGCACTCCAAATTAAGAGCTAATAAAAAAACTGTACCACACCCACCAAAATTTTACACATACATACATTCAAAGCAAACCGCTTCACTTTAAATTCCTAAAAACATTAGCGCAATTCGACTAAAGGACGCATTTTTAACAAAAAATATATGATTTTTAGGACTAACTTGTCACTCATACTCCTTAAACTATTTTAAAGCCCTAGAAAAACAAGCAAAAAAGTTATAAAATAATACAAAAAAACATAAAAGTGTTACATGAGCGTTCGATAAATTTTTAGTCAGATTTCTGAGCCCACTACAATTTAAGGTTTTAAAGAAGAAGAATTTATTTATTTAAAAAAAATTTACAAAAACATTTAAAATTTATTAGCTACCTTGTAACTATACATTTATCTCTGAGAGCACCAACGACATAGAGAAAAGTTGATTTTTAACAAAACAACTTATTTTACATTTTTCTTACACTTCTCATACTTTTGTTTTCTGGTTTTGTTTATCATACTTTTGTTTTTTTAATCCGTGCGCTGCAATGCATAATCTTGAACTCGTTGAATTTCGCTGCTGTTATCTCCGTGTTAGGAATTTTTCCAGAAGTTACTTTTGAACAGATATTTGCGCTACCATTGGAATAATTGAACAGCAAGCCAATGTAAATTTTTTGTTCAATGCTATCAGGAAAAGCTTTGAAATATTGGTTAACAAAAATTTTTTGCAAAGCCTCTTCTGCACTATCGTTACCAGATGCAATATCCGCAGTTATGCCAATTCCATCTTTTTTTATGATGACAAGATCAGCTCTAGATCGTCTCTCAGGTACAACATAGCATTCACTTTGTACTTTGCTAAACATATCATCCTTATATGCAAAAGCAAACATGATGCCTCTGAATTCATCGTGTGTTTTTGCCCATGATTTTTGTGGAAACAAGCTTACAATTGAGTTTGCAAAATCTTCAAATGTAAATTCAGCATCCATGCCAAGTTTCTTTAATGCATCGATGTAGTTTTTATGATCCAGACGATATAGTTTCGCATACAATCCTGAATTAAATATATCTCTGATTAAAGAAATTTGAATCTCCTTGTTTGGTACAGACAAAGTGATTATATTCGCAGTCTTCTCTGTAATGCACAAGTAACCACGATTTTTCAAGAAATGGAAAAACAATGCAACCAACTCGTCATTCAGAACAACATCATCAGGTTCACTGAGTAGTTTTCTAAGGCTGAATAAATGGCAAATTGTCATCTTGTTTTCTATTGCTTGAACTGTTACAGTTCCACTACCACAAAGGACCACAGCCATTTCTAATAATTTGGTAATCCCTAAAACTTTACTCAGATTAATGCCTTGGTCAATCCAGTACTTCTCTGGTTTGCAGTCATCATTTTTTGGTCTTACCTTTTCTTTATGCTTCACATTTATGTGTCTAATCCATCGATTCATTCTTTCATCGATCAATCCTTTTTTTGAGATGGTGCAAGCTTCTTTGAATAAAAACCAAGTGGTTGCCACTCTTTCTCGATCTGCTGATGCAAAGCAGCACCCATCGCAGTATCTGAAGCGTCTACCACCATCGCCAACTGTGCATTCATGACAGGATGGTACAGCGTGGTTGAATTCGCCAATTCTTTCTTGCTCTTCTCAAAGGCAGTAACTGCTTCCTCCGACCACTTGATCGCGCTTTTATCATTTTTCTTAGCACCTTTTAAATATTCGTTTAAAATTGCTTGAGTGTGGGCAGCTCTAGGTATGAATCTTCTATAAAAATTCAAGACCGCAAGAAATCGACGCAGCTCTCTTATTGTAACTGGTTGAGGAAAATTAGCAATTGCAGAAACTTTATCAGGAAGCGGAGTAATACCCTTTTCCGTTACACTATGCCCCAGGAATTCTACTGAAGCCTGTCCCAAGACACATTTGCTTACGTTGAGTGTTACACCATATTGAGCAAAACGTTGAAAAACTCGTTTTAAATGTATTAAATGTTCTTCTTCGTTCTTCGAAGCTACTAATACGTCATCAAAATAAGGTACACAAAATTCGAACTCACCTAAAACTTGATGAATGAAGCGTTGGAAAGTTGCGGCAGCATTTGATAATCCAAACGGCATATACAAAAACTCGAATAATCCAAACGGGGTTGTTACCGCAGTCTTTGGCACGTCTTCGCTGCTTACCGGAATCTGATAATACGCTTTTTCCAGGTTCAAGGTAGAAAATATCCTTTTACCTTCCAAAACCTGAAAACAGTCTTGCATGTGGGGAACAGGGTACCTATGTGGCACTGTTACACCATTAAGACGACGAAAATCACCACATGGTCGCCATTCTTTTTTAGCACCATATGTAACGGACTTGCCCAACAGCTTTTGGAAGGCTGACAAACCCCTGATGCTACCAGAAATTCAAACTCTTGTTTTGCAGCTTTTAACTTATCTAGCGATAAACGTCGGGGTTTCGAAAAAACAGGAGGTCCTTTTGTCTGTATCCAATGTTATACTCCATGCTTAACTTTTCTTGGCGTGACACCTGACCTAATCAGAGCAGGAAATTCTGAGAACAAATTGTGGAATTTAGAGTTCTCTAAAATTACCTTTACCGTTGAAGCATTCCCAGCTTACCGGGTACCTCTTGTTTGCAACTTGGTCAAAGGATCAATTACTGCAGCATTTTTGACGTCTACTAATAAACCAAAATTGAGTAAGAAGTCAGCTCCGATAATTGGATGAGGCACGGCAGCGATGATAAAAGGCTAGCTGAACTCTCTTCTGAGTCCGAGGTCTTATTTCAACAGGCGTTGGCCAAACGTTGGAATGGTCGTACCGTTTGCGGCGAACAACTTCATCTGTGAAGAATGGTCACTGGATGCATAGGCAGCACGAGGTATCACAGAGACGTCAGCACCCGTATCGATGAGATAACGTGAGGATGTAGACTTGTCCGTCAGATAACATCGCCTCGCCGTCACCCTTTTGACTGGATGACGGCCTCAGCAGTTTTCCGGAAGGAACGAACATGGAGGTCGGCATTTTGTCGCTCGTTGTTTGAATATTTTATGATACCAGCAATACTGTGAATTTGCAGACTGTCGGCTTCGGCTTGTAGAGCGTTTCTGACTAGTACTTCTTGACCGGTCACTTGTACGAGCTTCCAACCGTGAGAGACGAGCAGTGATCTCTGTCAATAAAGACCGTAAATCCGTCTGATCCGTCGAACCAGCAATTACGCTGACTGACTGTGCGTTAGTTGTTGTAGCCATGATACCATCCGCCATTGCCGCCAGCTTGTCCAGGTTATCGTTGGAAATCGCCAAAATCTGTTGAACATTAGTAGGCAATCTCTGCAAAAATAAAGATTTAAGAAGTTCATCGTTAATTCTCGCGCCGGCTTTATTCCTCATTTCCAGAAGCAGTCTTGAAGGACGGCGGTCGCCAAGTTGCATCCCCGAAATCAAAGCGTTGAGCTTCAGATTCAACATATTGAGCACACAATCTTTTTTTAAGTGCGGTGAAAGGCTCATCCACAGGTGGACTGATAACAATATCGCTGATAATCGCCAGTTCCTCCGGTTGTAGAGCAGAAACTACATGGTGAAATTTCGTTGACTCTGTAGTTACTCCAGCAAGAGTGAACTGACTTTCAATTTGTCTGAACCACAATTCGGGATTAGCTCTCCAAAAAGGTGGCGGCTTTACAGTGATACGAGCAATTTGTTGATCAGCAGTTTCCGCAGATTCGGGCATTTTTTGCATTAATCCGAAATGTATAAGTCCAAGAATAGAAGTAATTTGTACTCACGGCTTGCCAAAAAACTTTAAAGCTTGAAACGTACCAGCATTTCTCCGTAATCCATCAACTAGTAGAATTTCTCAAAAGCAGTTTGCAGAAACAGAAATATACGTATTCGTTTACAGGTCACCAATTGTATAAGTTTCGGTGATGGGAATGTAAGACTTTCAAATGAAACAATATGGCAATGAAACATCCTCTTTAATAGTAAAAGTTAACGAACCATCAAGAAACTTCACAAACTCCAATTAACAAGTTATTCTTTAAAAAACATTAAAAGTTGCTTTTCAAAAGAACAATTAAAACTTAAACTTTTGATTATAAATATCTCATACTGCAGGTGGGCGTCACCGGGTAGAAACGGGATATCGGGACGAAGTCTCGGACGCTGCACAACAACCCTTTTGAAGGCAAACTGTCATCTGCTTAAGTAATGGACATCAGCCTTTTCACTCCCTGCCTTGGCCGCCGGTTGATGCTCCTCCGCCGGTATTCATCCGCGCAGGAACTATTTCGGTTCGTCCTCCTACCTTCGGTCTTCGATCCAATCCTCGATCCTTCTACTTCGGCTTTTCATGCTATCTGAGCTGGCGGAACCAACAGCCTCTACAGGTACACCACAATGGAATAAGTGTTGTATATTTTTATATTGAAGTTCAACACTTTATAACCCTTGTAAAATTCCTGAATGTCCACCTTATCCAACTTCTGAAATAAAGGTTTTTTAAGCAACTCTTCCACTTCTGTCGCTGTAAATCCAAGGTAATCTTTATAGATAGGATCCTCCAGAAAGGTACAGGCCATCACATTGTTAGCATGGCATGATAGAGTCCCCTTCATTTCCATCGAGGCATTGACCACACCACCAGAGATGACGTCATTATCTATCAGAACTGAGCCAATCACATATCCAATATGATTTATGATAGACTGCACCTGCTTCTCATCAACTGTGCTATCGCTTAGCATACACGTGAGTGGAGCATCATATTCGTCTACCAACACAGAGGATTTTTTCTGAAATTGTATTTTCAAGCACACTGCCAAAAATTTTAAGGATGAAAATCGCATCTCTTTATATGACTCAGTACACAGAGAAATTTTTTTCCTGGAGGTCGGAGGTAAACGACTTTGAGCATCTTCTCCAAGATAGGGATGTTGCAGAAACGTATCTTGAATAGACTTCTTCAGTGATACCTCTAATTCATTACTAAGATATGTGACATCTTTAAAACTTATAAAATTGACAGGATGTTTCTGTGTAAACATTCTCCTTTCGTGCATTCATCATCAGTGTGTTTGGTTTCATGTTGACATTTAAATATGTTTAGGTTCTTGAAGTGTTGGAATATCTCCTTTTGAATTTCCTTCTCAACCCACTTTCCAACTTCATTCTTTGTCACATTCTCAATTTTGTTTCTTTCACTGTCAACTTCTATAGCCAGAAAATACTTGATCATGTTGCTATTTGTTGATTTTCCACAGCGAAAGGGAGCCTAAAACCGAATTGGACCCTTATCTTGGACTATGCTTCTAATGTGTAATGTTTTGTCAACAAAGGCATAAGATTTCAAAACTTCAGTGTAATTAGATGGGCCTGTAATGATGAATATCTCATCCAATTCTTCAGCTAAAGGCATCTGCAGCATAGAAATAATGACATGTTAATACCAGGGTGTCTACTGAATTTATTTTCTCAAATTATAGTACTTTTATAGAATTTATACAACTTTTTCTAACAAAAATATATGACTGAATTTCCTAAATTTATGAGTAAATTGAAACGTTTTTGCATTAAGTATAGCCCATAGCATGACAACAAAAGCATGAAAGTAAACTAGCTCGTTTTATTATTACGAAATTAAGTGAGAAAAATATTGCGCTTCGTGGAAATTGTTAGTTAAGGTTCCCAAGCTTTACTTCCTGATGTCAACGCACTGGGGTGAAGTACCTTCTATTTTAAGCAGTAATTAGTTAACCTTCGATAATCTGTACTTAGCGACATGAATTTGTTTCCGAGATTCCGGGAGTCCAATTAGTGTTGATTGGCGTTCTAAACGTATAGGGATATCATTAAGAGATATGACGTCAGAAATGTAGAGTTTAATAGTTTTTAGTTGTTGTAAGAACAGAACAAATTGAGATATCGTTCAGAGCAGACGTATTGTTAAATCTTTATGTAACATACCAGTAACTAAATTATTTCAATATTCTTGTATCGTTACCAAGTTTCTCGTTATTGTTTATTAAATATACGAAGTTGAATGTTTAACCTGAAGTCGTCTTTCTGTTTGGATATTAAAACCATTTCGTTGAAGACTCAGTCATTTTCACGCTACAAACTTGAAAGTCAGCATATCTGTATTGGAACCCAAACCCAGCAACTTTAAAGATTAGAATTTGGTGGCAGCATATCGGCCAGGTTTACAACAGCCTGGTCTTTAAATCACTTTCACATTAAAGTATTTGCATCTTTAAGATCGCTTTTTTTTCTATCTTCCATTTCCTTATCGATGATTTGTAGCAGCTTTATGTGCACAAGATGTTTGAGGCTTTACTGTTGAAAGAAGTTGTTTTAAAATAGTGAAATGTGTTTAAAATGAAATTAATTAAATTTATGAAATGAAATAATTTATAGGACTTATTTATTAAAATTCAAAATTACAGTACTATTATAGGATTTACAGCACCATTTTTCAAATATAGTACTTTTATAGGAATTATAGCACTGGTAGACACCCTGTACCACTTTATTTTTTAATTAAAGTTTTCATTCGCATGTAAATTTTTTACCACTAAGAAACTCTTTTGCGATGGTTAGTGTGCAATTTTCACTGTTTTTATTGCACTCTATTTCCACTTCAGTGGGTTTATGCTAAAACATTTTTACCTCAGGAATCTCAATAGAGCAGCAGTTGGATTTGTATATCCAACTGCTGCTTCATTATTTTGGTGGCAGGCTCTGATGTGCAAGCATATGGGTACGACTTGCAAAACTCTAGACACTGAACTTTTTTCTTGCCGTTCTTTTTTCCATTTCCTCTGCCGTGAAAAAGCTAGATCCTAGAAACAGATAATGAATATTATATTAATTTTAATACTACTTATTTTTTATTATATTATGATCATATACTACAAAAGTAATTACTGAAATAACCATGTTATATCAGTAATTACTTTGGTAGTATATGATCCACACATATTACTAAAGAAATATATAAATACTGCAATTTTAGAAATCAAGAAATAATTGATAAATTATTAGCCAGAGAACAGGAATATAAAAAAAATTATTACAAGACAAAGCATCTAAACACAATGATGAAAGTGGTATAGACGAAATGAACAAATTGTTTAGTTCGATGGTAATAGAAACAAAAGACGACAATAAGAAGATGAGTAGATATTTGAATAAAACTTTAAAAGATATAAAATTTCAAGATGATTTTAAACCTATATTTGAGAAGAAAGGNGCTTCATTATTTTGGTGGCAGGCTCTGATGTGCAAGCATATGGGTACGACTTGCAAAACTCTAGACACTGAACTTTTTTCTTGCCGTTCTTTTTTCCATTTCCTCTGCCGTGAAAAAGCTAGATCCTAGAAACAGATAATGAATATTATATTAATTTTAATACTACTTATTTTTTATTATATTATGATCATATACTACAAAAGTAATTACTGAAATAACCATGTTATATCAGTAATTACTTTTGTAGTATATGATCCACACATATTACTAAAGAAATATATAAATACTCCAATTTTAGAAATCAAGAAATAATTGATAAATTATTAGCCAGAGAACAGGAATATAAAAAAAAATTATTACAAGGCAAGCATCTAAACACAATGATGAAAGTGGTATAGACGAAATGAACAAAGAGTTTAGTTCGATGGTAATAGAAACAAAAGAAGATAAGTTGATATATGACTAAAACTTAAAATATATAAAATTTCAAGATGATTTTAAACCTATATTTGAGAAGAAAGGTATTAACGACTATTCTAAAAATGAATTATTAGAAATGAAAACTAGTAAAAAAGGTCCGACATTTAAAGATACTGAAAAAATTCAAGTAGTTAATATTCCTAAAGGGAAAATATTATCAATGGTAATATACAATAACAGATAATTTTACCCCATCATTAATTTCTAACACTATAATAGCAATATTGCTACCAATTATCTAAGTTTATTTTATAGCCTACATACATAATTGTGATATTTTCATACAAAAAATGTCGAGCTATTTAATGCAATTTTATTTATAATCCTATTTTGTATTAAATTTCTAAATTAAAAAATTTTGGGAATAAATAAATGAATCAAGTTATTTCAACCCATCAATCAGAAATCAACAAATTTCAAAGAAGAGTGAAAGGTTTATACAGATCAGAGGGCTCAGCAACCAATGAGTTTGAAAGAATTATGATTAGGAATAAAGAATTATCAATTTAAAGAACATGAGAATAAAATTTTAACTTTAGCTAAACTAGGTTTATTGAGAATTAAATTATCTGGCTAAATCAATTGAAAATATATTTTCTTAAATAAATGGATGACATTCGCTGTTCTGTGTGTTTAGAATTTAAACATTCCGATGAATTTTATAAGTACAAAAATCCTGATAGAAGATGTAAACAATGTAAAATCTATACAAATTGTAAGCGTTTGCTATGTGAGTGTGGTAGATATTATACTAAAACGCATTATCAAAGACACTTGTAATCAAATTTACATAAAGGGAATAGGTGTTTATTAATTTTTTTTATAATAAATTGGTTGTCTTAAAATGGAAGAACGTTTTAATCAATATAGATTAAAATATTTATATACTATTGCTAAAAAACTAGGTATAATATATGTGAAGAGTTATGCTAAGAATGAGTTAATAGGAGAAACTATAAAACAGAGAAAAGAATAAGAAAATTAATAAAATGTTTCCATTTGATCAGGATATAATAGCAGAACCAAAGAATTAAGAGGATTAAATGCAAACAATGAGGTGAATACATTAGAAAAGATCAAATGCTCTTACATAAATTAAATAAACTTAAACTACCAGAGTTATATAATATTGCTAAAGAACTAAAAATACAATACATTGCCAGATATGAAAAAGCTGAGCTGATAGAACAGATCAGACAATATGAAAAACGTAAAAAAGAAGAAGAAAATAAAAAAAAATAAATGATTTACTCTCTTTTGATGAAAGCATAACAGTTCCTCAAAAGAAAAAGAGAGTCAAACAAATAAAATGTGAAATTTGTGGTAAGTACATTAAAGAAACCAGGCTACAGCTTCATAAAGCTAAACATAATCCTGAACCTGATTTTATTTTAGCTGAAGTTGCTTTTAAAGGTATACATAATAATATGGATGATTTAGACATTCCAAGCTATATGGATTCAATTAAAGATAAAGCAGATAATCTCTTTAGAAATGCTTTAGATATGCATAAGAATATTAAAATTAATTTACAGTTGGAATGTGATTTAAAAAATTTAGAACAAGAAATGACACACAAGTTTCAATTACCTAATGCAATAATAAGAGAAGAAAATGATTTAATTAACAGCGAAGTCGTTGGACTTAATTACTGG